TTTTTTTTTTTGGAATAGAAATATTTACATTTATATTGATCAGCGAATTCTTCATCACAAATAATACCTAACAAATCAAATTATAATGATTTCTTTACAATTACATCAAATTCAAACAAGAAATTGAACTGAAATTATCTACTCAATATAATACATGCTAAGCATTTATTACAAATTGATATTTGAAAATTCGAACTTCTAGATCGTATATTGAAAATTCTTTTGTACAACAATCTTTTCACTCTCTGAGCTATTTTCCTGGTGATGTCGCAGCAGCAAAATTTTCTCGAACCTTCATCATCAGCGATATCGTCAAATTTTGATGATCGTTTGCATTATCGTCCTTTACGAACATTATTTACTCCGGCACCTTATCGTTCACCACCATTTCATACCTCAACAATTTCATTACCTGATATCAAAGAAGCTACTACGGAAGAGAACGAAAGTAGCTGTAGCGGTTCAATGGAACATAATGATGCCAATTTTCACGATCATTATAGTCGAAAATCTTCAGAACAGGTTCTTTAATAACACATTTGTCATCTGTTCTACCGGATTCTCCACAATTTTTTTTTTTTTTTTTTGATTTTCAATTAAGGTTAATCGTTGTATTTTGCATATATCGCTTTACTGTTAAACAACACAAATACACACATACAAATAGAAATCGTGAAGTTTGCATTAAATAAATTATCAATTGTCTCAATTATGATTACGAGTTTATTGGCTCATATATTGATTTATTGCTGTGAAAATTTTTAATTTTAATTGTTAATAAAAAAAGGCTACTCAAAAAAAAAAAAAATTTTCACGAGAAAAAAAGGAAAAAATTTTGTGTGATGATGCATTTCGAAAGATATCGTGTTATCGCTATTCTGTTCCTATTTAAAAGTACGTATTGAACATCGAATTTCTCCTCATTTTCAAGAGTTGTTAGCTCAATTTGAGTTTGCTTATTTGCTTATATCAAGCAGTAAGTCGATTTCAGTAAGTATTTGCTAAGTTAATTTTTCCAGAAAACAGGAATTTTATATATGTAATCATATATTACCATGATTACATATAATTCATACTGCATTCGATTTCATCATTTTTTTTAATAAACATCTAAGCAGACTTAAAAGTTAGGCCAGAATTAAGCATGTACGGATGGAGTGTACAATTCGAAGGTTGAATATCGATGATATTTTGCACATTAAATCATTAACTTATATTCATCAAGTATTCGTTAAATTAAAATTCAGATTATCATCATTGATGCAGTTAGCAAATTTTTAATTCCCCATTACCAAATTTAGCAAATTTATATAATTGATTCTTTGATAGCAGTAGAAGTATTGTAGTTTGTAAACTTTTCATACTAATAGTTAATTTTTCTAATTCAAATTAGTTCTCAAAATTTTTAATTAAGTTTGATAATATTTTCAGAATTTGAAAGTTGAAAATAGCAACAATCTTGTCGCAGTGGATCATCAAGTAGCAAAGGAAAATGCATGCACTATTCAGCGGTATTGTCATGAACAACCGCAAATGCCTTCGCCTACAAATACTTTCAAATCTTCCGCAGTACAGGTCAATATTAATTTGAAGTATTTAAATTAATGAAAATGAACGAAGTATTTAGGAAATTACTAATTTTGATCCGCTTATTTTCAATTATTTCAAATCTTTTGCAGACAGTTTATCCATTAGAGGATATTGATATAATTAAAAACTCGAATCAAATCACTCATTGTATTGAAAAAACGCAAAAACCTCCGGCATCAATAATTTCGGTCCAAATTATTGATCCAAAATCGCATCGCCGAATTATTTGTACGAATCAAAATGAAACATATCGCAATAACAAAAACAAAATAGTATAATTTTAATTTAAATGCTTTTCAAATGTTAAATTTCATCCTGATTAATTGATCATTATGAGCAAATTATTTTTTGAATAAATTAAACACGACAAAAATTAGACTGTACAATAGCAGATATTTGATTAGAATCAAGGTTATAGGTCATTCAAAGAAAGCAAAGTATCATCTAAGTGAAATAAATCAATTCAAATCTCTAAAACGGATAACTTAACAGTATTTGAATTGTAAAATTTTTCGATGAGAGTATCTTTGTCTTAACTTCATCATGCCGAGTGATTATATCAAATTATCAAAAAAACATGACACTCTTTTCATTTTAAAGCCTTTTCAACTATATTTGTCTTAACTCATTGAAATGCTAATCAATGTTGGAATTTTTTTTTTAAACTTTAAAAATTCATCCTAATTTCTCCAGGTTCATGAGGTGAATAGCAATTTTAAATATTCTTCTGATTCAAATGCTCCACCGCAAAAGCCTCTCGATGCGTGCGAATCTCCACGTAGTTATTCGAGTGATTCCAACAAGCAACCAAAATCTATTTTGAAACAACGATCAGTATCATTATTATCACCATCTTCCTCTAATATCAATGATAATAGCCTCGGACGTTACATTGAAAAAATTCAAATCAGCGATAGTACTCATAAGGTATAAATATATAAAGTAATAAAAGAGTTAATATTTTCATAAAGTTTAAGAAATACCTGTTCATACAAACTGTTAACAAATATTTATCAATTGAAAAATTTAAATCCGCCTAAATTAATTAACTTAAAAATATTTCTTTTTAATATCTTTCTTAGGATTTAATATTTTTTTTTTTTGTAAACTGGTAAAGAAAAATATTGCATAATTCATGATTGGGATGCATTCATGATAGAATGCTTGATGAATTTTTATCAAGAAAGAATGAGAGAAGGAAAAATATTGTTGTTTAAATTTTAATTAAAGCTGTTGAGTGTAACAAAGTAATGCATTAAAACTTTCAAATCCAAAATTTAGACTATTATTTTTGCTCTCAGTTAGAATATCATTTCAGATCTAAATTAAAAACTCACCATCACTAGTTAACCATATCGGCTATCGTCTGAAAAATGTTATTTTACATTTTAGTATATCTTCGCTTATCCTCAAAATATTTAACGAATGAGGAAACAAAAATGAAATTTATGCTAATAAAATGGTTATTAAATGGAAGATCTCTAAATTCAGGAAGAAAAAGAGTGGCGTCAAGTCGAAAGTTATGCTAACTCGGGTCACGTGAACCAGCCAAGTTCGGATTTGACCGGTAGGGAGAATCGGCTCTATCAAGTTATGCAAGAGAATTTGCGACAGCAAAAGCTATTACGACCTCAAACATCTCGTCATCTTCCACAAGCCTCTTTTAATGGGCCTTTCTTTACTCTCGAAGAAGTTCACACCAAACAGCACAGGTTTAATTTTTAGTGTATTTGAAATTGTGAATAATATTCAATTCTTTGTCATTGTAATTGCTATCTCTAAACAGAAGAACAATTTTTTTTTTCAAAAATATATTTACAAATTCTACTAACATTTAATTAGTATTATTCCATTATATTTTCTAATATATTTGCTAATTTTAGATTGTACTACTTTTCGTATTCTAAGAAAATTTCTGATTATTTTTTCAAATAAATTTTTTTAGAAATTTTTGAAATTTATAAATGCACTCAATGCATTTATAAATTTTGCCAATATTTTTCGTTCATTTTTCAGGGAATCATTGAAACAAACTCATCAAATTCCTATCGACGATTATTATTTAATCGGGAAACAGCGGCAGAATTCAATCGATAATTCAAACCATAAATTAAGGTTTCATTTATTTTTTTCACATTAATTTGATCACTTATTTTCTTTTCAACGAGAAAATGATTAATTAGCTGTTAATCAAAATAATAAGTTAACAGTAACTCTTATTATGATTTAAATTTAAAGTTTTCAGATATAACAATCGATCAAAGTCGGTATCAGTAATGGAAGTAAATGTAGCGGAACCTGAAAAGGTAAATAATTATTGACTTTGGCTAATTATAGTTATTAAATTTCGAAACAATGAAATAAAGTCTGTTTATCAAATTAAAATTCGTAATCCCAATTTTTTACAACTACTCATTGAGCATTTGGACATTACTTTTATGGCTTGCTTTTGTGATAATCTGTTAATTTCGTATTTTATTTCAGCTTATTAAGTTTGCAGAATAATGAAATTGGAGAAAGTGATGTCCATTGGCCATCACCACCAATAAAACTCGAACATGAACGTGCCCGATCAGTTCCACCATCATTAAGAACCAGAAATATCACTGATCCGGATCGAATTGATGAGTATCATCGACAAAAGGAACTTGAACTGGAAGCTATGAGACGTAAGGAAGAGGAAGCTATTGCGTGGGAAGAAAAACAGGTAATTAGCATAAAATTTAATTAAAAATTTCACACTTTCCACATCCTATATTAGCTTTTAGGCTATACCAATATCATTTTCTCAATTGTTAAAAATGAATTTCACTTTGAGGTTTCTCTCTAGCCGCATACTTATTTGGAATCAAATTCCGAAATTACTGCAAGAATGAAAAATTCATGCAAATATGTACACCTGTTGACATCTGTTGCTTTTGAGTTATTTTTACAAGTATTAGCTGTTTAATTTCTTGATTATTATGGCTGAGCTTGAGTTTTGACCGTTTCAGTATCAGAATTGTACGTTTCGTCAATCTGAGCTAACTTTAAAAGTAAATGGCCATTAATGATATTGAAATTATAAATATGGTGATAGTGATAACCTGTAACAGTAATAAGTATTAAATTCAATAAGTAATAAATTAACTATCTGTTATGAAATATTTTAAGCTTCGTGCATTGGAACTACAAGAACGTTTGTATTATCAGCAAATGCAAGGAAGACGAAGCAGAAGTAGTTCAGAATTAGACGAATCAATAACGCAATCTCATGAAGAATTACGACAGATCGATATGAATGCAAAAAAGCGACAAAACGAATTTCACTTTGAGGTTTCTCTCGAACTTATATTAATTAAATAATCAATTCTATTCTTCATAATTAAATAATCAATTCTATTCTTCATAATTAAATAATCAATTCTATTCTTCATAATTAAATAAATCATCCATGTTTATTTTTGCTTAATTTTTAATTTTCCATCTATTTGGCATCAAATTTCACGAATGAAAAATTCATGCAAATAATATTGTGATTAGCATTTTAAAAATTTTATTATTTATTTATTTCTTTTTAATCTGTTTTTTTTTTATGCTGTCATATTACAGTAGGATTATTTGAAGGGCATTTTTATAGCATTAAGAGATTAGGAAATGAAAAAAAAATAAGCAAAAATATGAATTGATTATTTATAAATTCGATTCATAAAATAGTATTAGTTAATGATAAATGAATGAATCAAGAAAAAAAAAATCAATTGACACATTTGAACTATTTGAAAAATTTTATTACTCGATAATGTCTCAAACATAGGTAATAATGATTTTTTAGTAATAATTTTTTTCATTCATGACATTGGCTTATTTTATAATTCGAATGATTACTAATGAATGACAATGCTATGGAATTGTTGTAGTTGTTTAATTTAGAAAAGCCTAGAACCACAACTGATGCACGTTTATGAAACGCGTCCTATTACGATGACATCTGAAAAAAGTGAACAGCCGGAATTTACCGGCTCATCAAATCCGGTAACCTGGAAACGATTGTACATTGTTGATCAATCAAAACCAGCTGCTAAGAATGAAATTATCACCAGTGAGCAACTTCTTGAAAAGGAACGATTCGATATTGATTTATTGAAGGTATTCTATTTTGTAACATTATCATATTATTATTTAGAAGTTCATTGTGTTACTTTCGAAAACTATCAAAAGGATAAATATTTCTTTTATTTAATTCTAAAACATTTATCTTTTTTTTTTTCATTCTATTCCTAAAATTATGATAAGTTCAATGTTACAGTAATGATAATTATGGTGTTATTGATCGTGATACTGTAAATATGCTTTTCATATAGCAATGATAATTCACTGCAGTAAAGGTGCATCAAATGATGCAAAATCTTTTTTTAGCGTCGTGAAGTATTCATCGAAAAGCCGAAACCAAAACCAGTGATTTTTCGAACCGGAAAACGATGGAAACCACCACCGGAACCATCTTATATTTGGCCATATATGCGTAAAGAAAAATTAAATGCTGAACCAAGCCTTGAAAGCAGTAGTAATTACTCTACAGGTAACTTTTAAACTGGTGATATATTTGCGTGAGATCGAGATCGAGGAATTTTGAGCAATGTTTTCATCTTGCTTAAATGAATTTTCATAAAGTCAACATAAATTTATTTCATTTCAGTTTATTATCGATTGATTTGAAATAAAAAATTAAAAATTTTTCATTTTGGAGTGTGTGTCTTTAATTCATCCTTATTCCAATGAACTTTTACAGATAATACGGCAGGTCGAATAGTTGAAAATACTGAATTCCGATGGCAACCAATCATGTATGATCCGGAATACAAACAGGAACATAAAAATTTCACTCCTGAAAATTCATTGCCTGGCACACCACGAGGATTTGGTATGTACCATTATGAAAGTAAATTTTAAATTATGAAAATAAATTTCAAATTTGAATAAGATAACAATTACCTGATTAAAATTATATTTACTTGGTTTCAATTTTCTGTCCAAAAATTCAATGTAATTTAGGTCCTGGTCCATTAGATGAACCTGCAAAGCGTCAAATCAAACACCTTATACAACCACTACCTGATGGTAGCCATCGGCCAAAACCAGTATTTGGTGGTCCACGTGCTACTCCATCTGGTGGCTTCTATCCTCATGCACCAAATGCTATTAAAGTGAGAAAATAAAGTTTTTCTTAACATTTTTAAGACTTTCTCGAAAAATCAAAGAATAAAAGTTATAATTTTTTTATTGTAACAATTTTTTCATATCTCTTAAAATTCTACCTCAATTTTTATCTCTTTTTTTTTTCTAACTTCAATTTTTATATATTTTAAATTCTCCCTCAAAATTTGCCATATTTTTTTTGATGACTTCATTCTTTATCATCTTCAAATTTGAGAGAATTTTAGGTATTGAAAAAAAAACATTCACAGAGCTTACCGGAACCAATTGGTACAACAGATTTGGATAAGGAAGTGGAAATCATTCATCAAAGAAGATTTCATCGTCTTGGAGAGTTGCCATCAGCCACGACATCCTCACAGTGTTACGGTAACAATTTAATTTTATTCAAATAATATTATAGCAATTGAATTATTAGCATCTCATAATTAATTATATTTCATAATACTTGTCATGTTTATGTTTTTTTTGACTAAAAATATGAGTGTCCTTAAAATATTATGCCATCTTAGATTATAAGATTTGAAATTAGGCAACGGATACTGGAAGATTTGAAATTAAAATGTAGAAGGAAGTTTATAGAAGTAGCAGATTGGGAGAAAATCTACGATTTGCCAGTACACTCATCCACGATCACGTCATATGATATGCCTCGGAACGTGAATGTACGTGGAAAACTTGCAGCGCTGGAAAATTCATTGAGGCAAGCTACACCTTCAGTTTGTTTACGTCTAAACTCAGGTGATACACATCGTCCACCATCTTGCACACGTGCGATTAATATTGATAATGGATTACAATCACCAACAAACATTATAAAAATAAATCGAAATGGTCAGGTTGGTTAAGTTGTCCTCATTTTTTGATTTTATTAATTACTTAAATGAAATGTTAATTATGCTTTTGTTATTTATTCCATTCAATTTTCTCTTCACGATTAAAAAATCGATCTATTCAAAAAGCTGGGACTGACATAAGCAATCGTTATTTTATTAATTAATTACTAAACTTTTCCATCTGTCTATCTTTAACCGATAATAATTTCGCCGTTAGATTAAACAATTAATTAAACTTTTTCGATTAAGGTATTAAGTGGGTTCTTAAAAGTTTCGAAAATAATTTAATTAGCGAGTGAAAATTACAATGATAGTGTTATATGCTATGCCTCATATGCTAATAGTGCTATAGTTAATAGAAGTGATCAATCAGTTTAATTAAACTTTCAATTAATTGTCTACTCTAATTTATATATCGTTCTTGCTTATTTACTTATTTAGTAAACAATAGCAAATTATATCACTGAAAATTCACAGTGTATTTTAATATTGGGAAGAGGCGTAAAATATTTGTGACAGAAGCAATTGTCATGTGGATTGAGGAAAACTTAACAATTCAAATATTATCTCAATTATTCAGCATAATCAATTACTGTTAAATTTTGCTTCATGCTTTAGTCAAATTTTATCTTATACTACTAACTTTCATATTTTGTTGTAGCATTTGCGACAACAATGCCTTCGACAGCAACTTCATTCAGGAACTGCACCGCGTACTGATAGTAATCATCGACCTTATCAGGTAAATAAAGAATTTTATTTTTTTGGTTTAATAATTTATGATAACAAGAAGGAATGCAAATCTGTGTTTTCTTTTTCCAAATAAATGAAAACTATTGGATTTAAAAATTTCTTAGAATTTAGCAACAAAGAAATGAGCGACAATTAATTCCATCACATGGTTTGTTAGTTCGTCAAATCAATCATCGTAATGCGAAACAATGCAATCGTATCGATTGTTCAAATAGCTGTCAACAATTTTCTCGTGAAATACTACCATCAAAAAAACTGTTATATCAAAATCATGATCATAATCATCGAGGAAATTCTCCTCATCAACATCATATTCCTATTTTTCGTTCCGATCATACATCAACACAACCAGTACAATCAACCGTATCCGTAGTAACTAAACCACGTCGTCTAACACGTATACCTGTGAATACTTCCGTAGAAGAACGACTATCATCACGAACTTCTTCAGCTATCACTGAATGGCAACGATCATCATCCATTGATGATTATTTGAATACAAAGAATTAATTTGTCTAATTTCCTTGGTATGTTATTTAATAGATTTCAATTGAAATTTTCAAAAATACATTTAACTTTCTCAACAAAGTAATGTAACTTTGTTTTATTTTTTTTCAGGTAGAAAAAAAATTTCATTCTTTTGCAACTTTATCAACAAATGGTAAGTTTTACTCTGTTGTGATGAAGCCATATAATCAATCGTTCCTGCGTTATCATATTCGTTTTTTCAATTATATTTTTCAAATACTTTTTTCTTGACATTATCTTTTTTCTTTCATTTAATGTTACTATTTATTTTTCGCAATATTCTGCGCATTATTTTCATACTTAACTTTAATTTTTTACTTACTGAAATAAAGTATTAAAATTTTTTAAAAATTTTACAGCTTTAATGATGGATCAGATGATCCATTATTAAAGATTAGATCAGATCATCTGATCTAATCTTAAAACTGATCAATATATAGCAATATATCTATCAGTCTACTTATCAGGAATTTCTATATTGATTGTTTAAAAAATAAATTTGTCAACAATGTAACTTTTTTATATAATGGATAATATTTTTCCGGAAAAATTGAAAAAAAAAAGCAAAAAGCATTAAACAATCTTAATTCTTTTAAATTGATCAAATTTTCAATCTTTTTCATTTTCTATTGCAAATTTCTTCACCCTTTTGTGAAAATATGTAAATTGTTTCAATTTCATTAATTTCACTCAATTTTATATTTTTATAAGATATTCTAATTTAACAATAAGTTCAGATCAATTTAAAACTATTTATTACTTTTTCAGTCAAAAAGATTAATGAATTTAAAGAAAATGATTAGCATTGCCAAATTATTAGAATACTTAAACATTTGACAAATTTAATCGCATTTTTTTTGATATCGAAACTTTTCATTGTTCATTCTTTCTTTTTCCCATTAAAATATATTTCGACAATTTCAACTATTTATTATTTGCAATATTTTTCGCAAATATTTATGCTAATAAATTCTGTTAATTTTTGTTCTAATTTTTCTCCGTAAATTGCTACATTTATGTTTCCGTTCTAAATGAATTACTCATTTCTTCCACTCAGTGATAACACAATATCAATCATACCACATCATATGATATCATCAAATAACTTTAATATGATCTCAAGCCAAAGGATAATGACGAAACGAACGGTAAGAATATTTTGCAGCTATTTTTAATTTTGCTTTTAATTTACTTTGCTTGCTAGTTTTATTCGTTTGTAAGCATTTAAATTTTTTATGAATTATTCATTCAAAATTAAAATCACTTCATCAATTCATAAATTTTTTCCTTTTCATAATTGATTAATTATTTCTTATTTCAGCATTTCAGGTATTACCACACTGCTACACTAACTTTCTCAGCTCCAACTGTTCTTTTTTGTATTCTCAATCATACATTAAATGTTTACAGTAAACTAAACTGTAATTTGATAATATATCATTTAATGATAACTATTAGCTTAGTTTCTGTGTTAAATGTTTAATTTGCAATGAATATAAGTAATTCGTTGATATAAAATTTTTTTTTAAAAAGATTTAAACATTTTCTATAAAACAAAAATAAAATTTATATGATATCAGCAATGTAAACTTTAAATATTTTCAGACAGCAAGCGGAGGACCGAAAAATGTATGCTTTTGTCACTTTTTTAATTATTGATTCAATTTAGTTATTGATTTTTTTTTGTTCCTGTTGAAATGATTTGTTACCACACAGTGCTCATTCAAAGAAATACAACAAAACAATTTTTTTTTAGACGAATGATAGTAATTAATAGAATTAATTGATGATGTTATTTATATCACTGAATGATACGCAGATGATAATATTAATTATTTTGAAAGCTTTTCCTCAATATATTTCTTCTAATTAGAGGTAATTTGTCATAAGCAAAAAAAAAAAGATAAATTCAATTTGTTTTATTTCGGAAGAAATTTTTTCGTAATTTTTAAGCTTTCGAAAATTAAATCGCCAGAATTTTTAACATTTTGTAGTAAAGATTTAAATTTTAAATTTCTGCCGTTGTTTTGTTTTATTAGAGCAAAGTGTTGAGCATTTTGCAGATGTGAATAAAAGTGATAAGCTATATCAAAATATATAAATTCCAAAATAATCATAGTACTCTTATGCGAAATTATGAGCTTTATCAATTTTCTATGAAAACTTAAAATTGGAACAAACACAATTTGGAATTGCACACTCTTTTTCATTTTAAAAATTGTCACTGCAAAATTTTTAAATTCGAGCAAGTTTTGAAAGTTTAAATTCAGAATGTATCGAAATAATATATTTAATGTTTTAAATGTAATACGCCCTCTTTCAATTTGCTTACCATATTTTTTTTGAATTACGTCATCATCCGCTGTTACAACTTTTAAATTTGTGGATCAAATTTGAGTTTCAAAATGATAAATATTATTTCTGTAGTTTCCCATGAGAGCAGAATCCATAGAAGTTAATTTAATTTTCTATTAGTTTGAAGTAAAAAAAAACTTCCTCTTCAAACGCCATCCAATTAAACTTGAAAATTTCTTTTATACCAACTAATTAGAACACGTTTATATGCGCTGCACATACACCGCGTAAAAACCACGTGCATCACCTTTTATTTATCGCTTTAAGCGATAAACTAATAATTTAAAGTTTTGCAACTAACGGCAAATAACGTGCTGAATTACAAACTTCTATTAGTAGCTTTTTTTTCCCTCTTTTTTCATAAAGGCTGAGTTTTTTTTTTTTCAAATTTGTTGAGAAATTTTTGAGATGTAAGAATTAAGAGATTTTAATTTACAGTTTATAATTTAATATAAATTAATTGATTAAGATTGAAAAGAATGATTGCGAAATCGTTGGTATTTTGATATTAATGAACCTATTAGATTGAATTTATTTCAGTGAAGTTTTTTTTCTCTTTTTTTTGATTGAAATTTGACGATAAACATTTAATTGTCTCAACAATCCTTATTTTTGATTTAGAATAGCGACTTAGATCAGTTAGCGCAATTGAATGAGAAACTTTTGGAACGATCTAAAGGAAGGCGAACAGATTACAAGCTTGTTGATTCTGAAATTATAAAAACTGCACCTCAGTCAGTTCCAGTTACTGTTAAGGTTCGCTTTTTTTTGCTACCTTTTCCTGAGATTTTTTTGAGCATCGGATATTGTCTGAGGAATCGGCGATCAATCGATTGATTGATCGACCGATCAATTGGATGAATAAGTCATTCTAGTTGATACCATATACAGTTCCATCTATCCTTTTCATGTTAAATTTTGCACCAAAATAAAATTTTTTTTGAGCTAAATTTTAAAATTAAACATAGCTTATTGGAATAGTCGGAATTATAGGTAAATTTCAATTTGCATTAAAAAAATTATGAAAAAGAAATAGGAGTAGCTAAGTGTGAAATGGAAAAAAAAACATTTCTGAAAATTTAATTCAATTTTATTTCACGAATTTCTTTGTGCAGCGGAAAATTTGAACAGAAACAGAATACATTTTCAATTTATTCTTCCTTATGGGCGGTGACATGTTGGAATTATTTTTGTAATTGCTAGCATTTAACACGTAGAAAAATTTGCACAGTGTAAAAGTATTTTGTGTATTAGATTACAATTATTTAGATCTTATCAATTACAGATATAATCAGATCGTTTTTTTCATTTCTGATATAGGAAGAAGATTACTAATGCAGCATTAAGTATTTAATATTTGCATGGAATTATTCGATAACAAATTAATTTCGAATGTATCCTTACGATTCATTTCAAATAAATCAGTTTTACAAGCAACTTTTTTGTTTGTTTGATAATTTTTGTGATTAATGATTTTTAGGTATTAGTTTATCTAGCATAACTAAAAGATAAAATACTATACTATAATAATCAAATGATTTATTTGATAATGTTTTAAAATACGATTTATCGATTAATTCGATAATTGTAATGTATGGAATGCAGTATTATACTTTTTATAAGATTTCTAAGATCCAGATTAATTTTATCTTTCTATTCCATTTTATTTGTAACTTTATCACACAAAAAATTTTTTCCATTGAACTTTTTTTTGAAAAAATATTTTGATAAATTTAAATGAAAAATCAATTATTGATAGTTTTAGGATATACGCATGTCGTTGTTTTTTTTTTTTCCAATTTTCTTTTATAATTTCCCTTCAATTTTCTTTCATCTCTTTTGATAGCTTTTTTGTTTTCTTTTTTTTTTTGGCAAATAGTTCGAGCAGGAAAAAATGGAAAACTAATGGGATGTTTGTGTTTATGCTTCCAGGAGCAAATACGTGATATGCTCGAATCGCGCATTTCCAACGATACATCAGTAAATTCAACCATTCCACAACAGGATCGATCTGGTTATGTTACGGTACCATACGCTCTTCCTTCAGATGGCAACCAAATTTTCTCCTCTTCTTTTTTATAATGCTTTGAAACATAGCCAAAAAAAAAAAGAGAGAAAAAAAAAGGAAGAGAATTGAATTTGTTTATTTTTCTCAGAATTGCTTCTCTATGCAATAAACAAAAGTATTTCTGTTTTTTTTTTTTTTCTAATCTTTTGTGATTGCTGCTGTGTTTCTAATATTAATTTTTAGTAACGATTTCATGCCTAATAATATTTTAATAACCATCCATTTTTCATTTAATATATTTGTTGTTTGAAATTTCAACTCAAATCTTTTTTTTTTTAAA